AGGAACAATGAATGCTGGGACGATAAGGGGAGCCCCAGTAGTTCATCGCAGCACCGTACCCTACGCCCACCCTACTTCCAAACACTGGATGGATCACATTCCTCGGGGATCCCTCCGTAAATATTAATGAAAACGAGTGCATGGCGTAATTAGGGCTGACCAGTCCGACAGAATATCGCCGTATGTAAAACGGGAACTATGTGAAAGAAATTATTATACACTAAAATACATAGAAATAAAGGACGCAAATGGAATAAAAATAAAAATAAAAAGTAAAAGTAGAAAAGAAACAAAATATAAGTTTGGAAAGTTAAACCGACCGTGGAAAAAGTTAAAAAGCCATAGTTAGTCGCTTTATAACGAGCACCGAAGCATTTCACTGCCGCAGTGATAAACAACGCATGGGTCGCTCCCATGCAGATGAACACGCCCACAAGCTGTAAAATTTCAAATAGCTACAAAAAATGATATTATAACAAATGAAAAAGACCGCAAATAAAACAGTCAAATCAAAAATGTAACAGACTTTCAGAAACAATTACGTGGAAAGAAAGAGAAATAATATGGCAAAATAGAAAAAAAATAAGATTATGCAAGTAGTGGATGTGAGCTACAACGGTTTTGCTTTTTTCAGAAGAAATAATAAAATTAGCAATGATTGTAATGATGATAATGGTGGGCGGAGCAACAATGCAACATTCCTGCCGGAAACGACTGGGATGCTTGAGTTCTTTATAGAAACCTTAAAAAGCGACTCAGAAAACTCACCCATAAAAGAAACAGGTAACGTCCCACATCTTTCGTTATGGGCATTGTCAGAAGTAATGAAGCTGCCATACATGTCGCTATGCATACGCTTACCTAGAAAAGATTTCGTATTCGTCTGTCTCATGCGATCAGGTGGCCGAGTGGTTAAGGCGATGGACTGCTAATCCATTGGGGTTTCCCCGCGTGAGTTCGAATCTCATCCTGATCGAATGTTTTGCATTTCCTGCGGTGACTCTCACACAGGGTAATTTGCCCCTGGAGAGGGGTCTTAATAGTTTTAGAGGCCTTTTCGTGAGAAAAATGGCATATATTCCAGCATTTGTCCAGGAATTTAAGATGATGATTTTTATATAATTATCGCCCAGCGAGTATTTCGTATAATATTTTATGTGAGGAAAAGGAGTCAGCACGGGAATACCTACTCTTCCCCGGACGCCCTTTCTGTCCCCTAATATAGACTGAGTTCTGCTACGGAATGAGGAGAGACACATGCTCACAAAGGGTTCTTTCTTCAAATTCGGAGAACGATCCTCTTACCTGTCTTGCCTCTACCCAACCACTTGAAATGAAAGACCAGTGGGGATCAACTTCCTGAACCAACCTGAAAACTCGTCCGATCCACGAGATAACCCCAAGCAACTCGTGCTATCGCATTCGCAACACATCCGATGGCGAACGCTCTAGCAAGAAAGAAATCGTCGTCGATGAACGTTTCACCAAATGTCTAAACCACTGATTTCATAGCTGTTCTATCACGAGAGAGGCTTTCAGGCGATGTTCGGCTCGGGTGGGGGCTTGCCTCTGCCAACTTACAGGTTTCTGCCCCTGCCAACAACAGGGCCTTACCGCTGTGGGAACAGCAAGTTCCTGCCAAGTGTAAGCAAAGCTTAGGCTATTGCATAGTTTCAAGAGTTCACAGGTCCCCATAAGAGGCATCGGCAAAGGTCGAAGGAAATCTGCAAAATGCCCCCCCCACGAAGCCGAACTGCGCCAAAATTCATATACCTTGTAAAGATTGTAGAACATATTGGCATAGAATGACGAGCAGAACAGAGCTATGAATAGGAAATAGAACGTAGACGAGCTAAGCATCTCCCTGGGGTGCATCGAATACTCACTGTAAAGATTTTGATTTAGCGCTGCTCTGGAATGAGGGATCGGTCAGGATTTTCACGATGTGACAGTACGGTATCAGCGCGGTACCTGCCCTACATGCCGCAGCGCGGTAAATCATCACGCCACTGTTGTGCGCGGTGCCGCAAGATGGACCTCATGACCGACAAACCACTCACTCTGATTGCTCATTAATGAAGACGTCAGAGTCAGAATCAGAATTGAGTGATTCACGTGACACTGAACGATGTCGAGTTGCGGTCCCACTGGAGGACACCTGAAAACGCTCAACTTACTAGTTGACATGGTTTCGAGTCGTCACAGCTACAAATCACGATATATAGGGACAAATCACGATAGATAGGACTCCGTGTGATGCTGTCATTTAGCCAACTATCAGTCCAACAAAATGCGAAGTCTTCCCGGAGAGACCTCGCTACAGAAAATGCCCCTTCAAGTGGCATTCCAATGCATTTGTTACCTATGGAGAGCTCTATTTCAATAAGTAAATTCGTAACTCTTACAAATGAGATGGCGGAAGTGGAGCGCCACCAGGTCTCTTGTTGCCAGGGATAACCACTGGACGCTTCCGATGGCCATTACAAGCCAGTTATTTACTGTCCCACACGGGTGGGAGCCGAGGAATCAACGTTGGAGACACGAAAGCCTTTTCTGCACCAGGTTTGATCCCTAGACGAGTTGTGTGGCACCGGGTAAGGATTCCCACTTTTCTTCTGTATGACAGCATCACATAAGAGTAAACACATGCTGAAGATGAAGCCATTTGCAAGAACTAGTAACTAAGACGAGGCAGGGGATACCTTAAAAAGATGCTGTACACTCACTTTTGTGCATCAGGTTCTTGGTGATCATACTTGAATGAGTCCACAGCTGCACTTCCATACCACTTTATCCACTCGAAAGGGCCCGAGAACGAGAGTGGAGTGCAGTGACATCCGGTGCTGTCTCCTAACTCCACCTACGCTGTCGCACATCCAGTCACACGACTAAGTATAGCCGAACGCGCTCAGTACAGGCGCGCTACTTGTTGCACCATCTCAGCTTCTAATTGGGTTCGTTACCTGTGATACGTGGCATGGTTGCTGACGATGCGACGCAGGGTGCTGGCACCGTTGGAGGACAGCGCGGAGCAGATAGAAGTATAGGAGAGTGATGCGCGGCGGGTACCAGTAGCGTCTCGTCAAGCATTACGGTGCAGCTTTTGAGCAGGAAGGTGGCACGGACTGGGCAGGGCGCTGGCGGACACCATGTCACCTGGGGAAGGACCGTTGTGTCGGGAGGAGAGCGACGGCGCACAGCGCGGTGTTGGAGTTTGAACACGAGGCACTGGCAAAGAAGGCCTAGACAAGGACAGGAGCCGGAGCAACTAAAAGCGAGCGGCACGAGTCGAGAGCAACCACAACACAAGCCACGATTCACAACATGCCGCGACTCTGCTATTCCAGGCGGTCAAAGTTCTGTCCCCTGACCACAAGTAGCAAGGCTGAGGGCAAGACAGCCACTCAGTTAACTTTCACTCGCAATTTCGTCACCAAGCGGCAGAACTGTGGAGCCTGTGGGCGCCAAGGGCTACACCTTCACCTTTTCAAATCATTGTTTTCAGTTCCGAGATGAGAGAACAACGAGAACAGGTAGACAGAGACTGGATCGAGTCCCGCCCAATCTTCCAACCTCCACCCCTGGGGCTGGGCATATGATGCAAGACCCGCCTTAGAGAAGAACAAAAGGTCTCAACTTTACAGTTCTTTACACTCCTAAAAGTCTTACTAGAACATCTTCCTAACAGAAGAGTCCGCATTCAACTAAAAGTTCCAACCTTAAGAACCAAGGATGAAAGGCTGGCTAGCTTGGGCGAGACCTGATCCACGACTTTCTACCGACCATCATTGCTTGTATAGGTTTTGAATTTTTGACAGCTACAAATCACGATAGGCATTTACTACTGTCCCATGTTTTTGAAAAGGTGACAGCAGCCCCATGAGGTGAGCCGGTGAGTGTTAACTCAAAATGAAGCACGTAGTAGTCAGTTCTGCTGTGGGTAACCCTAGGTTCCCTATAACCGCGGACTTTTATCTAATCAAATTTTTCAGGAACTTTTGAAATTTTCAGCAATATAAAAAGGCCGCTTCATATAAAATGTTTTAAATGATTTTCACACTCGAAAAATGAAGGACTTGGAAAAAATATCATGGTTGATAAGTATCAATTGGGTTGACTCTGTCCGAGTGGACTTCAGATTGACAGGTATTCGTT